TCAGCACACATGGTCAATCCTGTTCAACTTCTCACCCATCAATACTCTAAAATTCTTCTCCCCCTTGGCTGCTCCCTGCTCATTCTTTGCCCAGACTGTGGTTTGTGCTTGGGATTGCCCTGACCCATGTGCAGGACCTTGAAGGAATACAGCTGGAAAGTCAAGCTGGGAGCACTGTCCAGCTCATGACAGAAGTGGATACGTTAGCAGTAGTAGGCTGCCAGCCTTGGCAACAGAAAGCAGAACCTTGAGGAAGGAATGCAGAATTTAGCAGTGTGCTTGGTATGATCTTCTTGATAAGCATAACCTATATGAGATAACACATACCTGCACTAGTTAGTAGGAGGCTCTGAATTAAGCAATGTTACATAGTTACATAAAAGTTATAGTTGTGCTGTTTTTAGCAATTGCTGAAAAGGTATATAAGCTCAGCTTTGTGAATCAATAACAGCTTCATGCATGCAAACCATGGAGTCCGCATATCTTTCGTCAATTGCCACCAGGACCTTGGATGTGATCTGGTTGAACTTCACAAGGTTCACACAGACCCACTTCTCCAGCCCGTCCAGATCCCTCTTGACAGCATCCCTTCCCTCTACACAGCAGACACACCACTCAGGCTGGGTGGATGGGGAGGTTATAGATGTGGGATGCCCACAGTGCTCCCATGTCCATAACCTCCCCATCTGCCCACCCTCAGTGGTGTGTCTGCTGTACTTGCTGCAGCTGCAGGAACTTCATCTTGTATCATAACACACTGCAGGAACACCCATGGGGACATAACAAAGGTTGTACTGTGATCTTCAAAATGATGCAGACAGATAATGACAACCTTTTGATTTGGTTAAAAAATTCAAATGACAGTTTCCTAGGGCATCAGTAAATTACACAGGGCCCTATGCAATGCCATATACACGGATGAGTTGGGCAGGACTGCTCCAGCATTACTGCCTCCAGTGACTGCTCATAATTAGGGGCAACAGAAACCACTGTCCAGCTGAAACTTGCAAATACTCTGCTTAAAATTATCCAACAATCCTAATGAATGAATGAATTATTGTAGGCCCTATAATTCAGGAACAATCTGGGTTATTAAATGCCTGTCATCATGTTGAATGGTCACTGTGGTGAACTATACAAGGCAGGTACTAAACCTCTCAGAACCCATGAAAATCAGATGTAAATCTGAAACCTTATCCCTACAAACTTCTCATTTTATAATGCCCTTGGAAATGGTTCTTTTTCATGCTGACATAACAAAACCTAACAATAAATATGAAATTTAGAATAAGGCCAAAGCTTGAGCCAGTGTGAGCTGGAAATCTGCCAGGACTTTTTTGCAGCTGTACGAGTTCCACTGCTCCAAAATCAGCAATATATACACATGGATTTTGGGGTCATATCTGAATTTTTCTGTGAGCAATATTTTACTTTTTAGTCCCTGAATTGTGGGCTAGAGCTCTCAGTCTACATCAAGCAGCAAATGCAATCTCCATATACACATCAGGTGAACTGCTATGGTAAATAAATAATATGACTTTTCTAAACACCACTATTTTATCATCACAGTGTGGTCCTGTGGAAAAGAAGAAAAGTAGGAAAATCCCGCTATGGTAATGACATATGGACTTAAAATTCAGCAAATGTCACTATGTAAATTAGTGTCCTGGTGTTCTCTGGGATAGAGTTAATTTTCTCCCTAGCTAGTAGCTGGTATATGGTTGTGTTTTGGATTTAGGATGAGAATAAGGTTGATAACATGCTTTTTATAGAAGGAGAAGATGAAGAAGTGGGGGAAAATCAGTCACAGAAGCATCATGTTTCATCTGAGGATGGACTTATTTTTTTTAAACGATGCTTTGGGTTTTTTATATTTTGGGCAAACAAGCAGTGGCATCTTCACACTGCTTCCATAAATTGTTTTTAGTGCTTTATCTCAGGAAAGACTATTCTTATAGCTGTGATCATCTTTGATTTTATATCTAAGTCTAAGCTAGAATTAGTTTTGCTCTCTGGAGGAAACATATCAAGAGACTCAAAGGCAGAAAGCATTCTCAAAATTTCTTGATGTTTAGATAATTTTATCATTCTGAATGCATTTTTCACACCCTGAGCAAAGAAACCCCCAGAATTAATCCTAAAAAATCAAGTTTCAATCATTCAAGGTGAAGATGGAATGCTTAAAAGCAAGGAATGTCTTGTACTGAACCAGAAACCAGGAGGCGAATCAGATACAACAGGTCCACAATGACTGTGTTTGGACTTCCTGAGCTCAGCATGTCTCAGGAGTCTGGGTGCTTGAAAATAGAACACTGGCTGTAGAAAATACTGAAATAGAAGGTTTTTTTGTTTTTTTTAATCAGAAAGAAAAAAAAAATTGAGACGTGCTTTTTCCCAGAAGATATTCCAAAAAAGGCCACTGTTTTTAATTAATTTTCCTGATCAGAGACAGCAACATCCTGTACTCACACACGCCAGGCTCAACGGTGTCCAAAACTTAAGCTTGAGGTATTGAGTTTATTTGATACCTACATGTAGAATCAAACAATTTTGGAAAATAAGTCCATATAGATGTGTTACTATGGGATAAACCAGGGAATCACGCAGAATAAAAGTTTAGCATCTCCATTTCAACTAGGAAGCATTTTGGAGAAAAGCAGACAATGGTGAGCAGCTGCAAAGGAAGGAGCAGGATGGAAGATGACTTCATGCTACAAGGATGGCCATCACACCCCAGAAAACTTGACTTTCCATTCCAGTTTTAATTTTACTTCCTCTTTTTAACAAGTTCACTGTTGAATACCCTAGACCAAAATAAGTGCTGAAGACAGTGCTGTTGCAACACCTCATGGAATATTACAAACCGAGGAGCACTGCAGGTGAATGGAGGTTCCTGGGTTCCAGCAGGATGGTCTCCATGGTGTGAGAGATGCATGGTCTGCTGTGCTCAGGATGGATGCTGCCTGGGTGGGGTGGGATGGAGGTAGGTGCTGAGGGGATGGTTGCACTGGGCTTTGGTGTGTGTGGGCATCATGGCTGGTCTGGTGTGAGGCGAGCTGGCCTGATGTGGGATGGCTTGGCAAGGAATGGGGTGGGTCCACGTGCTGTGGGAAGGGTTTGTCTGATATGGGGTTGGTTGGCACAGTGAGGGGCAGGTTGGTCTGTTGTTGGGCAGGTTGGGGTGGATGTGCTGTGCAGAAGGCCGGTGTGATGCGAGGCAAGTGGATGTGATGTGGGGAAGTGTCACTGTAGGACACGAGATAACACGACGCGGACACGCCGCTGCTCTTAAGGCAGGAAAAAGGGAAGTTTATTTTCTGACTCTAATATTTATAGATTTTTAAAGGTGACAGTGGATTGGAGGGTGAAAGTGCCACCTCTCCAATGACACTGGATAAACCAACAGTCTGTCACATTTCTCTTTTTCTATAAAAGAATGCAAAACAATAAGTTGTTTACAGAAAGCGTGTGACAAAGTTTGCTACAAGAATGCAAACATCAAAAAGCTTAGAAAATCTTAAAAAATCAAAACAACAGGGAAGGTTCATAGAACCATAGAATCATAGAATAAGCTGAGTTGGAAGAGACTCATCAGGATCATCAACTCCAGTTCCTGGCCCTGTGTAGGACACCACAACAATCCCACTGTGTGCCTGAGAGCATTGCCCAAATGCTTCTTGAGCTCTGCCAGATTTGATGCTGTGACCACTTTCCTGGGGAGCCTATTCCAGTGCTGGACCACCCTCTCAGTGAAGAACCTTTTTCTAATATCCAACTCAAACCTTTCCCAGCTCAGCTTAGGCCATTCCTTCAGGCCCTGTCGCTGCCCGTGAGAGTTTGGAGACTGGTTTTGGACTCTGCTTCTCCTCCTGAGGACACTGAAGACCTCAGTGAGGCCTGCTCTTGTTGTTCAGTCTCTTCTCCAGGCTGAACAAAAGAAGTGACCTCAGTTGCTCCTTGTAAGGCTCTTCAGACCCTTTGCCATCCTCATGGCCCTCCTTTTGACCCTCTGCAACAGCTTAAAGCCTTTTTTATATTGACGCGACACAGATGGATGTGGCACTGTGCACAGGCGGGCCTGTTTCGGGGCAGGTGTCACACGGGGCAGGTGGATATGTGTGGGGCAGGTGGATATGTGTGGGGCAGGTGGATATGTGTGGGGCAGGTGGATATGTGTGGGGCAGGTGGATATGTGTGGGGCAGGTGGATATGTGTGGGGCAGGTGGATATGTGTGGGGCAGGTGGATATGGTGTGGGGCAGGTGAATATGGTGTGGGGCGGGTGGGTGTGGTGGGGGGGGGGTGGGTGTGGTGTGGGGCAGGTGGATGTGGTGTGGGGCAGGTGGATATGTGTGGGGCAGGTGGATATAGTGTGAGGCAGGTGGATGTGGTGTGGGGCAGGTAGATGTGGTGTGGGGCAGGTGTCACAGGTGGATGTGGTGTGGGGCGGGTGGATATGGTGTGGGGCAGGTGGATACGGTGTTGGGCGGGTGGATACAGTGTGGGGCAGGTGGACACGGTGTGGGGCAGGCGGCAGCCCTGAGGAGGGGCGCTGACAGTGACTCCGGCTCCTCGCTCAGAGCCGGGCCCAGCCCCGCAGCCCCTGGTTGCCATGGCGACCGCCCCCCCGCCCAACCATTTCCCGTCCCACCACGTGATGACAACAGCTCCCGCACACGTGACGGAGGGCACGCCGTCAATCAAACTCGATCTCCTCCAATCACCGCCCGCAGTCGGGGCGCCGTCCCGCCTGCCGGAAGCGGACCCTCTAATCGGCGCCGGCGCGCGTTCCAGCGGTTTGACAGGGCCGGCGCGGCGGGGCGTTGATTGGCGTCAGACTGAGCCAGTGGCGGCTCGGGAGGCCGCGCGGGCTCCCGCCCCTGCGGCGCCGGGACCAATGGGCGCGCGGGAGGCGGAGCCCCGCCCACCCCCCGGCACTGCGGTAATATGGCTCCGTAGCGGGCGGCCGGCTCGGCGCTGCCGCCGCCATTAACCCCTGCGCGCCCGGCGGCCTCGGGGGAGCCGAGCGGGCACCCTGCGTGAGGATGACCTCGGCTGCCGGTCCCGCCGCGCTGCCGCCCGGCTCCGCCGCCCGCGCCCTGCATGTGGAGCTGCCTTCGCAGCAGGTACGGCGGGGCCTCGGCGCGGCGCTCGGAGGGCGCTGAGGCGGTGGAGGTGAATCAGGGGTGTCCCCTGAGGTGCGGGGTGTTCCGAGGTGAAGGGGATGTGCTCTTTTAGGGTGGGATGCCCTGAGGTGAGCGCAGGGGCGTGCTCGCTGAGGTGTGGGCTGTTCTGGGGTGAAGGGAGGTGTTTCCTCGGGGAATGGCGTGCTCCCTGAGCTGAGGGGCTGGACACTCCATGGGGTGTCAGGAACCGGGTCTGGGGGTTCCTGAGGCGGAGTCCCCAGGCTGATGGAGTCCCTGGGGCGAGGGGCAGTGTGAGCAGCTTTCTCTTCGGCTGGCAGGAAGGCGAGGGAAGCACGGGGCAGGGGTCTGCGCCTTTCTCCCGGGGCAGTCCGGTGCTGTTTCCTCTCCCAGAACACTCCCCCTGTGCCTGCAAAGGATCTGGAGCAGCCTGAAGGTGGGAGTTGCAGCGGGAATAACACCGTGAAGATCGGTGTTAAATGTGGGCACCTCGTGGGGCCGGAGCAGCTGGGGTGTCCCCTCCTCCCTCCCTTGGCGGGGTGGGAAGCAAGTGTGCATATAACATGAGGTGTGTTGTGAAAAGTGGTGAAATGTTCTCTCCCCACTGCATCCTTCCTTCACCTCGCTCTGTTTTTCCTGTTTGCTGAGAGTTGGCTTTTGGTTTACTGGGCATTTGTCCCACACTTTCATTTTGGAGAGCAATGATTTTAAGTGAGGAAGGAAGACTCTGTTCTGCCTGAGCATTTAGCAATCCCTGTCAAACCGACCCTGTGCCCTTTCCCCTCGTGCATGTGGTGACCTTGATTGTACAGGAGCTGGAGTGGTGAAAGCAGGAGTAATTAGCAAAATTTTGCTTTTCTTTAGAAATAGTGTAAGATGTGAATGTTTTGGCTCATTGGCTCAGTGCAGTGGATATTATTATGAGATCTGTAATAGACAGATTAGACACACAATCTGTTTCACTTGACCTACATGTTACCAGGTGGGAATATAAAGAAAAAACCTAGAGAAAAAAATCAACAGATGTTAACTTGAAGTGGATCTGCAACTGCTCTTTTGTTAAACATGTTCTAGAAGACATCCACTCGGGGGCAAAGGGGGGGAAATGGAGGTGGCTGTTAGCCACCTGACCCTCATTTGCCAGCAAGTACTTATTCTGAAATGTGGGTCTCTCTGTGTTAATAAATGAACATGAATGCTGCTCTGTATGAACAGGAAACAATGCATTGTCCACGAGATCAAGTCCTTCTCCTTGCTGAATTTTTGGTTTTATTCTTTCTCAGGCTTGTGCAAGGACCGAGTGCAAGGATCAGCTGCAGGGAGAAGCCTGAGTTATTAGTCATTGGATTTCGTTTGTGAAAGTGAGACCAAAACACAGCCTTTTTCTTCTAGGAGCAGAAACTTTTATAGGAGTTCCTAGGAGCAGAAACTGAGTCATCAATTATAGGACGTTCCAGTCGAGTAAATATTTAGCGAGGATGCTTGTATGTTAACTGTAGCAAGTGTAAGGCTGTGACAGAGACTGAGGTATTCTGCTGTGTGCTCTGCTAGCACAAGGAGCGTGTGCTGAGGGACTGGGTCCTGTGTCTGCACTTGGAATCAAACTGAGAAGCTCAGCTGAACACGCTGACAGCAAATCACCCTCTTTCTTGGTATTATCTGAGCTCAAAAGTCTGTTACTGAAGTTCAGGATACCTTGAAGGGACTCAGCACTTTTTTTCACTGGAGCTATTTTACTGCAGAATTATGGAAAAGATAAGTCATTCCTAGTCTATTGTGCCACCTCTCTAATTGCATAGTCTGGTTGACCCAAGCTGTGTGATGCTACGTGAGGCAAGGTAATTGTTTGTTGTATGCTAGCACGAAATCAACTTAGTGATTTGTTTCAGTGGGCAGCTTTCTCTAGGACACCCAAAGCTACATTTCTTTGACTAAGAATTGAGAGCAGGATGGTCTGAGTCATGGCTATAAATCTCTCCAAAGACAAATTCTCAACTGTGAATTCAAAGTAAGTGTTTTTAATGACTGAAGTGACTTTTTAGGGGCAGAAGTACTGACAGTGTAATTTGGATTTAGTCTAGCTTTAATTGTTCCAGTGACATTCACATTGATTAGAAAACAACGTTCCTGCTGCTGACACTTTTGCAGGAGAGCAAAGTTAAGTCTGAAACCTTTTGCTACTGTGTTGACACTTACGTCAAAAGTGAGTGACCTCTTCTGTAACTTGTTTGTGTAGTGGGATGATTGGGGCAGAGAATGCTTTTTGCTGTTGTATTCTGTATTTTAAGAAAGAGAAATAGAGGATATGACTGTAAAGAAATGCATCTGATTATAAAATTCCTATTTGAATCCCTTAGTAATTGTGTCAGGATGTTGTTCTCTTTTGCTGTAAGTGTGCACAACAGAGCTGAAAATGTGAAATAATTGCACTTCAGGAGCAGAGATTCTTTAGTAATATCTCTTCACAGTTGCTCGAGGCAAGAAAACGGAGTGTCATAATAACTTAAGGATTTCTGAATGCTCAAAACAAACTTCAATCCTGTCATTATAAGCAGTTCAAAGCTGTGGAGGGGTTGGGTGACCCAAACCTTTCAGACTCTTGTATATCCTCAGTGGAAGGGATTGGACAGAAGAATGCAGCCTGAATGCAGAGAGGCAGTCATGCCACAGTCAAATGATCTGTTGAGTGCTGCTGTGCTAATTGCTGGCCAAAAGAGATTTCGTGTGTGGCTGTCTAGTGACAGGAAAGCACACAGTCATGGACTCCAGAACCAGTGCCTGGGAGGGTCTGTGTGAGGGCGGGAGATGGATGTGCTGAGTATGGATGTGCTGGTAAGGAGGGAAGGGGTAAATTGTGCCATTGTGCGGAGCCATCAATTGTGTCAGACCAGGTGACTCAATATTTTCTGTATCTTTCAGTTCACAACCATTCTTGATAGTGAAAGTTTCTGTGGAGAGGAGCTACAATGAGGTTTCAGCTACAGGTGTCAGAAGTGTATTTAAGATAGAGCAAAATAGGGCAACCAGTTAGTGAAACTTCTCAAGGATACTTTGTAGCCTCCATTAACATTCCTAGAGGTCCAGTTGGAGCTTTATGCACTTGTATGAGTCCACTGAGTCCAAGAGCAGTGCTCATCATGCATGGCTCCTGTGGCTTCCACACCAGCATCTCTACCCTCAGGATTTGACTGTCTAACCAACTCCTTATCCATGTAACAGTCCACTCATCAAATCCATCACTCCGATCTGGAGAGAAGGATGTTGTGGGAGACTGAGTCAAAGGCTTTACAGAAGTGCAGGTAAATGACATCTGTAACCCTTCCCTTGTCCACTGATGTAGCCACCCCATCACAGAAGGCCACTGGGTTGCTCTGGCAGGACTTTGCTTTGCTGAAACCGTGCTGGCTGTTGAATCACCTCCCTGTCTTCCATGTGCCTTAGCACAGCTTCTCAGAGGATCTGTTCTATGATCCCAGGCTATCACAGAGGTGAGGCTGACAGGGTGGCAGCTCCCAGGGTCCTCCTTTCTGGCCTTTTTAAAGATGGGTACTGTGCTTCCACTTTTCGATCACCTGGCACTTCATCTGACTTCCAGTATCACTTCCAACATCATGGAGAGTGGCTTGGCAATTAAATCAGCCAGTTCCCTCGAGACTCTGAGATGCCTCTCGTCAGGTCCCATGGACTTCTGCACGTTCAATTTCCTCAGATGGTCATGAAGCCAGTCCCAGTCCCCATCCTGCTATCTATCCATTCAGGATGTGCAGGAAGAGAGGTTGTCATTGGAGATGGAGGCACAAGAGTTGTTGAGCACCTCACCCTTCTCATCAGTTGTTACCAGTTTCCCAGCATTTTTTATCAGGGGGTAACACCTTGGCTTTCTTTTTCTGGGTAGCATACATGGAGAAGCCCTTCTTTTGTGTCCCCTGCCAGGTTCAGTTCCAGATTTGGCTTGTGTTTCTTTCTTTAAAGGTGTGCATCACTCATACACAATGTTTTGGGTAACATGGCAGAAAGGGATGATTCAAAGTGTGCTGGCAAATGTGTTTGAAGGGTCTTGTGTAGGAAAAGTGAAGAAAGTTACTGTATGGGCCCAGGGCTGCACCTGAATGAGACTTTAAGCTAAACAATAGTATCTTTTTAAACATGAGTTTTCTGTTCCTCTTGTTATATATTCTCCTGGGTTATATGGAAAATAAAATACCGATTCTTAAATATTTTACTTCCCATTTCCTACAAAATAGGGGGGGAGGGGGGCAATCATAATAATGGATGGAAAGAGTTGTATTAGAATATTGCTTTCACTTCTCTTTGGCACACACTGTCTTTAGATGCTGAGTGGGAGGGCAGTGCTGCTCCAGTGAAAGACCACAGTGTGAGTTGTGACCTGCTGATCTTACTCAGTTGTATCCATACCCAGCTCTATCAATGTTTAGTGTTTGTTAGAGATAAATTAGAAGGAATGGTTGTTAAAGTTACTGGAAAATTGTAATTTTAGCCTGGAAGACTGGCTGTTAAGCTGGGGCTAGAATTTTGCTATCTGCAGTGTATTTTCTGTATTCTGTAAGGGATGCAGGGGTGTTTTGCAAACCAAATGATCTGTTGATAAGTTAGACTGTTATGTCCAAAAGCTGTACTAAATCAGTTTTCATGCTTTATTTGGGATGTTTGTGGTGGGTTATGGAATGCTCTTAATTGAGCAACTTGCTAGCTAAAGACCGAAGTCTCATTTATGAAGGGAAACTGACTTTTTTGCTCTTGATTTATCAAGCAGCAACAAGATAAGCATAAATATGCTTCAGGTTATTAATCATCATATGCTGTTTGCTTGTGCAACCCAGAGTGTCCTTTAGTGCTTCTTTAAGGTCAAAATTGTCATTGTTTTGATTTTGTTGTTGGTTCTGTAAGGCCCTGTTTACTTTTTGGCTGCTTCCTTCTGAGTATCATCTTGATATTCCCTGGTTATTCCCACAGCAAATGTGGACCAATGCTCCCTTCCTCAAGGTCATGTTAAGAGGCTTAAGGGACTTCTCTCAACTACTGCAGTGTGTTATTAATGAGATGGGACTTGCTCCCTGATGTCCTTTCCTGTCTGGTGGGTTAGTTCCCATGCTGTGTCAAAGAAGCAGCTACAGATTCAGTCTATCATCTTGAGATTAAATACTTACTTAGCCTGTCTCAGAGAAAAGCATCAATAAGGAAAGACATTATTTCTAGCTACCTCTTCTAAAAGGTTTTGGTTAAAGATGGAAAGACTGTCTAGTTTCCTGTTATTTGCATCTTATGTAAACACCTATCAAGAAGAGCTTTATCTGGCCAGTGAGCAATGTTTGTAAGATTTTCTTAGCCATACTTTAGAGCAATTTTTTAGGGTGTGCTGACAAGTTCTTACTCTTTGGAGCTGTGCTGTTTGCCAGCTCACTGGATCTGTTGCTCTTGATGTTACAGTGACCAAAACCAAATACAGCTGTTGCAGCAATACCCAGAAAGAACTTTATTTGCCCAAGACCCTGCATAGGCACATGATTTGGCTTTTGAACCCTTCCGGCTAACATTATGTTTAAGTTAATTCTGTGTATTGAGTCTTCTTTTGCCACGCCTAAACGGCTATGTTTGTGTCCCAAGACTGAATGTGTCTTCTGTACCTGCCCCTACAAGATGTTTTAAATAACAGGCTTTTACAATCTTTCTTCAGAAATTAACACCAAAAAAAAAGATGCACAAGATTAGTGAGTCATTTGAACATCATGAGCTTACATCAGTTTTAGTCTTAATTTTTTCATTCATTTTGGACTCTAAGTGGTGTAGATTTTCTACATATGATTCTGGGGTACAAAGAGAAGATTTCTTGTGCCAGCTGAACAGTTACCCGCTGTTTACATCATTTTGTGGGGATAGAAGTTGAGTTCTGAGTTGCTTCTCAGTGAAAATGCAATTACTTAGTAAGGAAGTAGTTTAGAGGTTTAGCTAGTAGGAAAGGGTGCAGGGAAGGATAGACCAGAGAAAGCAGCTGTCTTTCAAGAGTAATACATAGTCTTAAGTTTTTTCAGTTATAGTTATCTGTTTTAATTGTTTTCTGGTGTGACTGTTGCTTTAGTTAGTATTAAAGGAGCAGATAATACCATAGATGAACATATTTTGTTAGCTCTAACACTGACTTCAGATGTTCATTCTTTAACTCCATACTGACCTTGCAAAGGGCCGTTTTACATTCAGGTAGCTGGAAAATAATTATACTTCTGCATGGACCATGTCAATTATTGAGATACTTCCTTATTCTTCCTGTTTCACTTTCTCTTTGTGTGAATTAGGGCAGACTTGATGTCTTTTGAACATCTTCCATTTGCTGACTGTTCCTGGTGAAGCTCTCCGTGCAGTACAGAAGCAGGAGTAGCCACAGCATGGGATATGGAAGATTAGAAAACTGTATTGACCCTTGATGTGTTCATGTGAAAGGTACATTGCTGTTTTCCTTCTTAAGGGAAACTTTCAAAAGCCTTTCAGATGTCCAGAAGTGCAAAGGAAAGGAGGCATTTTGATTGAAGGATCTGTAAACTAAAATTCACAGTTGTGCATCTTGGCTTAAGGGAAACTTTCAAAAGCCTTTCAGATGTCCAGAAATGCAAAGGAAAGGAGGCATTCTGATTTAAGGATCTGTAAACCAAAATCTTGAAAAACTTTGATCCCATGTTGATGAAATAGCTTTGATTTTTCTTGTGGTCATTTAAGCTTTAACTTTTCTTGTGGTCATTTAGTTTGGGTAAATCATTCTACACAGATTCATTGTATCTGGTTCCTTGCATAAGATCTTTGGGAATGTGAGGTATGTCATGTATGTGAGTGTGTTGCACCTTCACAGGAAAAAAAGTGTAGTTGTGTTCCTACAGTGCATCTTCCAACTGGTGTCCTCGGTTCTGATTCCTGGTAGAAATAGTTTTCTTAAAGGTACTTGCAAGAAAGTAGCTTAATCTTAAAAAGGGAAAGGAGTTCCTGGATGGCTGTTGATCACTTGACATGGGGAAATGGAGACAGGAAGGAGGCACAGTTATAAGAACTACAAATGATTCATTAAAATAATTATGGCTGTATATGAACTAATTATGGCTATGTAGCTTTGAGGGCCTTGCTGTCTTCAGGTGTGTGCTGGAAGACATTAAAGTAGAATTCCTTAAAATTCCTTATGGTGTCTCCCACAGAAATTGCATATCAAATGCTTCTGCTTTCCATCAGAAGTAGATCTGAAAGCCCATTTGATTCTCTTGACTCTGAACTGTGGAGAACTGTTAAGTTGCAAACCTCATAAGTCTTCCTAGCGAGTGTGTAAATTAGAGTACAAGCATTTCCTTGCCCTTCTTGTGGTTTTAAGTAGCCATACATCTGAGTAATGCCTAAACTTCCCATGTACTTGGAAGTTTAGGAAGTTTTCTTGGATATTTATGTTTTGCAGCAGAGGTGACCCAAACCTTCTGCGAGATATGCTCCACTTTAAAAAAAAAAAGGGTATTAAATTGGAAAATGGCATCTTGAAAACGTACGTAAAATTAAGTGTGAATTTTTCTCTACCACTTGACTTCCAAGAGATTGGATCATGTGATTGCTTCATAATATTCCAAGTGGTATGGAGAGGTAAAAGCAAAGAGTGCAAATCTGAGGAAATTGGAAGCTGCAATATTGAAGTGTAGAGCAGTGCTGTGATAATAAATGCTCATGTTGACTAAATATAAATCCTATTTTGATAACCTTTTTTTGTTTTAGGGCTGGAGGTTTTATACTTCTTAAGAAAAAGACCCAGCTCAACCTGTCTGCTATGAGCTACAAAGCACACAGAGCCCTCTGTTTTAATGTGACTTAATTCTGACAAATATCCAGACATCTAAATAGCTGACATTGCAAGCTCAGGTTGGTTCAGTTCAAAAACAGTGGATTTGCTGTAGTAACATTTGTGTTGCTAACTAATCTCTGCCTTCTGCTTTAATGCTAAAATAGTTGGAAGGATTTTGTTTAAATTCTTCCGCAGCTTCTGTGGGTCATAGAGCAAGGAACCAAGCTATGAAATTCATGTGAAAGCCAGGTAAAAACAGAGTGTGTGCCATGTCATACAGGGGTCAAAGCTGATCCTGATCTGAAAAGAATTCAGGGAATTTACTTCCTTGACAGAATTGTGAGGAATGCACCAGTCTGAAAACGGAGATGGTGCCTAGAGATGGAGACTGTCTTGGCATGTCTTGATTCAAAACTGTTTGATAAGCAGGGAGCTCTGTTAAAGGCTAAGGAAGTAGACCTGGTGCTGAAATTTTAGTTGGTGTTGAAAGTTCTTTGTTCTGGAAATACGATAATTGCTTTTCAGCTCATCAGGCCTCTGAGCAAGCCCTGAGTGGTGATATAATTTTGGTGAATTTGGGCTAAGTAATTTACATAAACTTCTGCTTTGCTTGTACAAGATGATTTCCCAGCTTTCTTTATGCTGGTTTTACCATTGTATTTACATTTCAGGCAAAAGTTAGTTTCTGGTTACATGGGTTGTAGGGAAAGTCATCAGGAATGGGATGGGTGGGGCAGCCTTTTTCAAATTCAGTCACAGATATATAAAACCTTCTCCTTGGGCAATTGAATTTAGGCTTCATTCTGGAAAATGTATTTCCATTTGTAAAATTCTTTAAAAATCTGCCTGATGGAATTTCTAAAACTTGCTTATGGCCATGGGTGCAGTGAGCCCACTGTCCCTTAGTAACATCTGGAAGTTTTCAGCCAAACCCTCCATTCACAGAGGGGGGTGTTTGATGGCACCTTGGACGGTTCTTGCTGGGAGAAACCAAACTGCCTGCCTTGCTTAAGTTCAGATACTCCCTTGACACCTTTGCAAATTTATTCAGCATGTCAAAGGGCCTGCTGAGAGTAGAATTCATGAACAGCACTGCTAAAAGAACCAGTGCTAAAGAGGGAAGACCGTGCTACTGGGAGAAGGCAGATGTGGGACAAGGAGAAGACAGACCTCCCCTTTTCCCGGCTGTGAGCCATTAGATCATCCCAGCTGCCGACAGCATGATAGACTCCATGTGATTAGAATGGGCTTTGCTGTTGCCCATATTAGTGACCTGAGCTTCACAATTGAGACCTGGAGCTGGAGTCGGTGTGATGGCTGAGTACCAGAAATAGAAAACGGTGTTTGGCTGTGTTCTCATCCCGCCTGGATATACTGACTTTTTTTTTTTTTTTTTTTCCTGAGGGTCATCAAATTCTTGTAAGGGAATAATGAAGTGGTTAAGATGGAAGAGGAATCACAACTCTCCGACTTTTTTTTTTTTTCCTGAGGGTCATCAGACTCTTGTAAGGGAATAATGAAGTAGTCAAGATGGAAGAGGAATCATAACTCTCCATGCTTGCTTTTGCTACCCATTATATGACCTTGAACAAATAATTCTGAAATTCCATGAATACTTGAGGCTGTTGTAGGTAGTCCTGTTCTCCTGCCATGAGCAGTCCAGGCCTTATGTTAACAACAGTGCACTTCTCTCTCATTTGACTAATTCCCTTTTCTTACCTCCCTACTGTGTCATCTCTACAGTGATTTTTATTAATTATACCAGATTATTAGACAAAAACCAGTGAATAGCTTTATCACTTTTCTTTCTCAGGCCTGGAGGAAAGCAAAGAGTGGTATCTGGATAAGCTTAAGCCATAAAGAAACTTAAGTGATGACGTCTGCCTCCTCTGTCCTCTTCGGTGGTGGGCACATCTGTAGCTGTAGGGAGCTGAATTGGAGGAATTTAGCCAGATGTTACCCTTACTAACCCAGTTAGTTACCCTTACTGACTTTTGGTTTTGGCAGCTTTACCTTGGTTTAATTTTTTGGTCCTCACTATAAGACTGCACAAAACACATTGTGCAAAATGGGAAGATGCTGAGGGTGGCATTCTAGGCAGAGGTAGTGAAAGATTGTGGTATCTTTGTGTTGAGGGAATAAAAGCATGAAGGGACCAGACAGTTTCAGTCCTTTAGGCCTCAAAAGATGTGGCAGACTGTCTAGAATCATCTGATGAAAATACTTGATTCTGGAGCAGTCTGATTTGAGTGAAGCTGATCATTGCTGAGCAGGGATGGTGTTGCTGTGCTCCACAGCAGCTCTGTTTGTTAAGATGCTGTTGTAGTATTCTGGGAAGATGCTGTTCTGCCTCTGCAGGCATGAGGGATGAAACTTGATGGTAGATTCTGCTCTTCAGATCTCTCCTACAGCTTTCCTGATCAGACTTTCTGTGTATCTTTGGGATAGCTGTCTGCTTATGACCTGTGCTATCTTTACATGCAGCAGTGTTTTTAAAATACAAGCTACTCAGGATTTCTCCTAATGGGAAATAAGTGTATCTCTTCTCCTGCTTTGTAGTCATTTATCTTCAACATAGAAGGAAGCACTAATTTCTTTCATATCAATCAACATGTAGTTTCTATATAACAGTTGCTTTTAATCAAATGCAACTTAGAATGGCCATTAAAGCAAAGGATGACCAGGCCTCTAATGTAATTTCACTGCTCCATTGGCTTTCTTGGGAATTGCAAAGGTCTAGGACAATTGTTACCAAAATAACTTGTGTCACAACCCCCTGAGAATGACCTGTTGTACTACTGAGCTATGCACCGATCCAGATATGCCCCTTTTAAGGCTGCATGTGCTGAATTGAGAACTCTTGGAAAGGTTAAACAACCTTTTCCATGGTATTAATTCTGCAAAAATAACTTTTTTTTTGCTGTAGGGTATCTCATTGAGATACTTGCTGTAGATGCCTCTCTGAAGTCTTCCGTCCTGTATTGCTGGTAACCTGTAAACTCTTTGAGGAGATAGCAGTGATAGTGAGCTATATTCATTGCATATTTTGCTCTTTTTTTTAAAAATGAAAACAGGTCTTTCACTGTCATCTTGCACTCACGCTGGCCTTTTTGAAGTTAAGTGACTCATGAGGCTGCCAAGGTGCTTAGATTATTTTTTAGCCCCTTGTATTTTGAATTTTAAGGTGGGCTTTTTAGAATGACTGTTCTGGCTGCAGAGTGTCTTATCCTGGGGGAATCCTCCCTCACGGTGAAGAATTTCTTGACACTTTTACAGAAAAAGCAAAATAGCTGAAACTTGTAGCTAAAAAAATAGGGAGCCTTTTTAGCACTTCACCTAGAAGGAGGAGGAAATGAAAGAATTGTGTATTATCTGCAGCTGCTGTATTCAACACAGAGTGCACTGGTTTATTCTCTAAAAAGAGTTGCTTTTGGAGTTTGAAATGCTCTGGTACCTCATTGTGAAGTGCATTCTCCTTGGCTCGTGGCAGTGCCAGGCTCTTTTGCTCCACGTGCACTTCAAGCTGGTGGTTTCATTCCAGCCATTCCCTGCCTTCAGCCTCTTGCTGCTGCATTGTCCCCTGCTTGTCCAGCTGTACCGAGGAACTGAGCTGGTGAAACTAACCCAGGAAAAGGGAGAGGTGGTTCGTGTCCATCCAGAGTGGTTCCCAGATATGATTCTGTGAGCAGCTGCACAAGTGCTTATTTATGGTGTAACGAATAAAGGGTGATGCAGTGCTGGGGGTTGGCAGTGTTTGGCTGATGCTGGTGCTAGCTGAGCTGCAGCACACTGGGGTTTTTGTTTTGTGTATTCCAACGTCTCCAGCACAAAACGATATGACATGCATAGGAGGTAACACTAGATATTTAAAACTTCCCTCAAAATAAATATTTACTTTGTCACAAAACAAAGCCCTTGATGAGGTATTCTAGAACCTATTTCAGTTGTCTTTGGTATGTCTTTGTAGCTGATAGTCTCCTGGTTTAAGGTAATTATTTTTGATCAGAGTTAATTAACTTTGAATGTTGCCTGTGTAGAGTTCTGTTGAATGTCTGTTGACATTTTGGATAGAATTTTCTAAGAAAATAAGACCATATCGTCTCACAGAACTTTTTTTTTTTTTTTTGAATTTTGTAGTTTCTGTATATACTAGAGGTACCTGGGCATCCCATCTCAGGCTCTGTTTATAGTCTAAATTGTACACAGACTTTGAATGGAATGACTCCATGAGTGATTTTTGGGCTGTCAAACAAAAATTGAATATTCCTCATACCTTTCCATAAAGGAAAACGAATATATTACTGGAGTGGTGTTAAGTGATATAAAGTGTCATGCTATGATTCTAAAACAGATTATGCCCTTTCAACTTTTGTTAAAAGCCTTTTAAGACAAGCAACAAACAGGAAAATTGTCTTTTGGCTTCAAAAGTTTTTAAAATGTGCTTTTGGTCAATCAGCTTTTAAGGTGGATTCAGCCTTACAAATAAAGACGCTTTTGGGAAAAATGGTGTAAGATGAACTCTGAGGTAAAAGTATGCACTAAAGTAGTTGTTTGAGGCTTATTGGTGTATTGTGGTGACCCACAAAATATGTGGAGCCATTTGTCAACGTCCCCATGGTAGTGGATGAGACACTGGTGAGTTGAGGGATTGATTGGGAAAATATGACCCTGAAGGATTTGGTGAGAACTTTATGTATTTGAAGTGGCAGTTCACTGAGTGCTGCATTCATGGGAGGCTGTTTGAAGCATGGGTCTTCGAAGTTTCAACAGAAACAACAGCTAAGCATTGATTTAAGTATGATAGTCCTGCAAAATTGCTTTGTTAACTAGTTAAATTTTATAAGATGTTAATAATGTTAAATATTTGTCAAGGATTAAGGGTGTGATGTGCCTTGAAGTTAAGACCTTAGCCACAGCTATTAAAGCTGTTGGGCACAGAGTGGTGGGAAAGAGAGATTGATTTGATCTGATGATTTTAATTCAAGGTGCAGTATTGTAGTAAACCAAGATAATGTTGGAGTTGGATAACATAACTTAAACTAAATATTTTAGTGACCTGTCCTACTGTATTCATTCCAAGGGAAAAGGACTCTCTCATCACAGCAGATGGTAACTGACAGTGAAAATCTCAGATTTCACTGTGCCCTTAATTTTCCCCGAAAATCTTGATATGTCTTCCTGATACATTTTACTTTTATTTAAGGTTGTTAGAGCAGTTTCCAGGATTACCGTGAAATCAGGGAGCTTTGTTCAGCCAGTTCCTTATGACTCTGAATTATGTTTGTTTGAGCTATTTGTCCATTAATGCTTGTTGAAAACAGCTTTGGCTGGGAAGTGTTTCCAGTGAGATGATGCAAAACATCTGGGTGATGCTGCTGCTGTGTTTGAAGCTGATAGTCACATTGCTTGAAACTGCTCGAAGAGTTGGGGTGATTTAGTCATGTGGGATAAAAACAACATACAGTATATGAATAAGAACAGCTTCTCTTGAGTATCAGTGTAGCTTAATCCAGTCTTGTAGGTGCTTGTTGCTTGTCCTGCGGCTTTGCTGAATCCTGGCTGTTTACGTTTGCTGTCTGACAGAGAAAACTGAGTGTTTGGTGGGATTTTTTTTTTTTTACAACACTGCTTTGGGAATCATTAAAATGCTTTGAAAAAAGAGAGAGCGTTAATTTTCAACCTAAGAAAATTCTTTGAATTTTTTTTTCTTATTTTTAGCGCCGTCTTCGTCACCTTCGGAACATTGCTGCACGTAACATTATTAATAAGAATGGTCATCGCCTCTTGGACACATACTTCACTCTTCACTTGTGTGATAACACCAAGATCTACAAAGGTAAACCAGGCTTGCTATCAACCTTTTGCTAGTTAATCTTTAAATTCTTATTGTATGAATTCTCTTCTTTTTTTTTTATCTTGACAACTTTGAGCCATTAGTTGCATCACCTTTGCTAACACTGGAAAAGAGTTCTTTAATTTCCTTGATTTCATGAAAGCTTTCAGTGTTAGCAGCCAAGGAGGCAAAACAGATGACAGGTTTTGTAGTCTTTTAAATCAGCCTGGTTTTGTCATTGTTCTTCCCTGAGTGATGATGTAAGAAATTGGGAACCTCCAATAAAAGTTAAAGCTTTTAGAGCTTTGGTTGCCTTTGTGGGGAAGAGTGTCCCACTCTGCATACCAGTTGTTTTACAGAGCATACATCAGCACATACTGTTACCAAAATTTTCAAAAAATAGAATTGTCATCCAGTGACATGAAGCATCCAGGCACCTGTTCCAGTTTAGATAACTGTGTTTGAACATTACATCTCCTCTCTTTCTTGCTTTTCTTTCCCACTACGGTATATAGTTCATTGTGGAGAGATGTTATTAAAAATATGTTTTCATGCTCCTTTTGGTGTGATTGGATATGAATTTTGATTTTCTCTTAATTTTTATTTTCGTCTGGCATAGTGACACATCTGGCATCTTGCCTTGCTTTTTTTTTACCTTGGTTGGTGTTAGAAGGATAAGAATACAAAACTTCAGTTTGCTGCCTGGACTTCGTTGTGGTGGTTGGTTAAACCTGTCACTGATGACTGTTTCTGCAGTGTTTGGTGTTAGGCACTCTATTGCACTTTATCAAAGCTTTATCCCTGGTCTCCAGTGGCCTGGGATATTGTACAAAATCTGTATTCCTGCCTCTAGAGCTGTCTGAAGTCTTCTAAGCTCTTGCTTTGACTGGGAAAGCCAAGGTTCATGTGCCAGCATTTAAATACAGGGTTGTTGGCACCTTTGTCAGGTAACTTGGCTGTTTCCTCTCTGAGCACCTGGAATGGGTCACCATTGCTCTTCAGGAAAGTGCTGTAATTAATTTATCCAAGCTGCTGTGTTCCAAGATGATGTGTAGCAAACCAGTAATTTTTGCAAATATCAGCTAAATTCTGTTAATTAGTGTGCCATGTTCTTTCCTCAGAAATCGAAGCCTTGTAAAACTTGAGGATTATCATGGGTATAAAGATGAAATACTGAATTTAAGTAATGACTGGTAATAAGTAAGTGTGAAGGAGTAATTTTAGTCAAAAGCATGACTGCATTTCAAAGTCTATCTTATTAATTGGTTACTAATAAACTGGACCTGCTAACATTTATCTTTTTTGATTGTTACTTATTTGTTTTTTTCTGTTTCAGATACTAAGATTTGTATCACTGTTTAAGCTAATCTAAATGTGCTTTTTTACTATTTTTCTTTAGAATTTTATAAGAGTGAGGTGATCAAGAATTCTCTGGTAAGTTACTTTAATGTGGAAAAACTTTGTTTTAAAAATTGTGTATTTAGTGCAGTATATCGAGTTCTCTGCTGAATACCAGAACTGTTTAATGTGTCTTTCCACTGGTTGGTTCTGTTAGGAGCATTGTGTTCTTCTCCTCCTTTTCAGATTCTTTTCATGAGGGTTAGAATAGGGCGCTGCTGAGTAGAAATGCTGATTTCTATTGACATCTTCATGTTGTGTAGGAAAACAGCAAAGAACGCATGTACCTGTCAGATACATACATATGTTCTTTAAAGAGCTAATAGCTGAGCTGTAAGAAACTGAAGTTTGAAAACATGTTAGATTTTCTGAATTTTTCAGTTTAGATGAATGAAGGGGCCAGAACTGAACAGTTTATTACAAATGAGGAAGGGTAATAATAGGGTAGGAGTAGGATGTTGCAAATGTTGGCTAAGGGAGTTTGAAAATCTGCTGAAGAATTTTTAATGCCTGCATTAACAAAGTAGAACTGCTCCTTTTATAGCACCCTGGGTAAATGCTTTGAAACCCTGAATGAAGAGCTGTCTGCTTAGTCAAGGCTGCTAACTTCTCTAGTTTCTCTCTTTAAGCTGTTAGGATTTTTAGTTCTGTCTATTCTAAATTAGGAAAAGGAGAAACAAAAAGGGAAACTAGCCACAGGATATAAGATGTGGAATAATAAAAATCTAAATAAAAGATGTCTTGAGGACATCCTCTATATAACCTATAGGTATTGAGTGACCTGGAATTCTTGTACTTAAATAGCTATGAAATATTTCTTCTTGTTAGGAGGATTTGATTAATGCGTTTATTCTGTAATTCTTAGTGGGTAATTTTGCATCTGCCTTCTTTTCAGAGGCATTCTATTGCAAATTGACTCATTCCAGTCAGGGATGCCTTTTCCAAGCTGCTTCAGCACTAAAAGGGAAGGCAAGTTCTTTTATGGGGTGGTGGGTTCCTGCCTTTTGTTTTGCAGGAGCTAGTGTTTCTGTGTTCAGCAGAGGAGGGAGAGAAATAAATATATATAAAAGCACTTTCCCAGTTCTGCTTTTGGACACCCTCTTGTCTCTTGGCACTAGTAATGTTGGATTGACTTGTTTTTGTTAGAGCTTGGGTCAGTTCTTTAGATGTTGTTAGAGACCAGTGGAAATTCTTGGAATGCATCATCTTTGAAAATCAGAGTTCTGGTGGAATTTGCAGTTTAGCTTAATGTGTGCTGGTTCTGAAAAGCTCCAGGTGCAAGTCTGATCTCGTAGAGTAAAGCTGAGCTTTTAGTGACAGCATTTGAGATTGAGCATCAGTCAAGAGGAGAAGAATGTGAACAAATATGTCAGCAAGTTCTGCAAATTTAATAATTGGGGAATATATCAGCATTTAACTTTGGGAATACATGCCATACTGTGGTTTTCAGAAGCTGAATTATAACTGTGAAAGGAATATTACTTCCATTTTGAAAGTTCCTGATTTGGTTAAACTGAATTAGTAATTTCTGAAATAAATTCTTTGATGTCTTTTAGTGAAAGGAAGCAAAACCCATGCAATTTCTGAAGTACTTTACAGCATGTACCTTTTAACTGAGGAATTCTCTCTAGCAAACCATGTAAGGAAGCAGCAGAGCTTGAAATGGCTGTTGTTCCTAATTCTTAAGATTTAAAAAAATCTTTGAGATGGGCTTTGCTGCTTTCTGAACTGTCAATTTATGGACTAGTTTCAGCTTGTTTAAACTGTATTTCTCTTTCTTTGAATACTTAGAATCCAACATGGAGGAGTCTGGACTTTGGAATAATGCCTGATCATCTTGATACCTCTGTCTCTTGTTTTGTTGTGAGGATCTGGGGTGGCAAGAAGGAACACTTTCAGCTTTTGATTGAGTGGAAGGTCAATTTAGATGGGTTAAAGTACTTGGGCCAGCAGGTAATGTGAAAATATTTTTTTCTCAACTTTTTTTCTTCAGAAAACAAAACATCTGGATAAATTAATATATAGAATATTGAGAAAGAAAATTAGTGTGTTTAAAGACTGTATTTTAAAGTTTGGTTACAGATATTCATGTTAGTTTACATCAGAGCTTTAAATCCTAAAATCATATAGTTGTTGGGGTTGGAAGAAACCTTAAACATCATCCAGTTCCAACCCCCTACCATGGGTGGGGACACCCTCCACTAGACCAGATTGCTCTAAGCCCTGTCCGTCATGGCTCACTTGCAGGCATGGGGCAGTCACATCTTCTGTGGGCACCCTGTGCCAGGGCTTCACCACCCTCAGAGCCAAGAATTCCTTCCCAGTATCACATCTAACCCTGCCCTCTGGCAGTGAGAAGCCATTCCCCCTTGTCCAAAGTCCCTCTCCAGCTCTCTTGGAGTGCCTTGAGCCACTGGCAGGGACTATAAGGTCTCCCTGGATCCTTCTGTTCTCCACACCAAACTCTTGAGTCTTACCTCTGTTTAGTTTCCAGCTATTTTAATTTATTTTTGTCACCTGGAAATGCAATAACAGGAAAGATGCTCTGTCTAGTGTTCCTGATTTCAAAGCAGAATGGCTGAACATGGTGACTCCTGCTAAAGCTGTGAAGCAAACTGTTTTCCATGTTAAATTCTGTTTTCTGTGAGTTTTTGTGTACTTCTAGAATTACAGGTGATGAAAAATTGCTTTAAACTCTTGGAGCCGTTTGTGCTCATTTGGTGTGAAAATTTGCAGTAAGCTGGCTGTAAACTGATTTGTTTTCTTCCTTCCCTACAGATCCATGCAAGAAACCCAAATGAGATTATTTTTGGTCTCAATGATGGTTATTATGGAGCTTCATTTGAACAGAAGGTAAGGGTGTATTTGTTCTGGTTTGTTGGTACTGGGGACAAACTGAAATAGAACCTGTGAGATTGATTTTTCACATTTGGATGCTCAGAACATGAAAATGCTTTGTTTTGAGAAGTAATAGATTTTTGTATGACAGATATAAATTAATATCTTGCCTTGGTTGCATCTGTGATGTTTTGAAAAGACTTGAAGTGTAGCATTTAGGGTCCAAAAACCCTCTAGTTACTGAAAATACGCTTTGGCTGTATTCTTTGAAGCAGACATTTCATTCAAACACAGGACATATTGAAAGTGATGGGGCTGTTAAGACTCATTTTCATGGGCATATATAAAACCACAAAGTTTTGGTTATCAGTCTGAAACCTAGAGTTTGTAGGTCTTTAATGGGAAGCCATTTATTTGGTCATGCTGCACCTGTTTTATCCCATGGGTTTTTTTCCTCAAGGACCCACTGTAGTATTTGTGCCTGTCTGTCCAGTGTTGTCTCTGATTATTACCTCATTGATGATGAAGAAGTTTAAACTTACCTGTTGTAAATAGTGCCTCTGACAGTTTTTTTTTAAATCTCAAATTGATGGTGGCAGTACTTAGATAGGTTGTGTTAAGGAGTCCCTGGTTGGAGAGGAAATGACTCCTTGACACACAGCTGCAGTTTCTGCATTCAGTTTTCCTGAAGCAGGATGCAGTTGTTTTTCAAGATTTCAGTACTAACAGCCTGTGCCTGAATTCAAAGATGGGAACGTTATCATCTTTTTCTGATTGTTGTCAGGACTTGTTCTCTAGTTCATAAGATTTAAAGGTACGTCTTGGTTATAGTTATAGAATCATATCCTGGAATCATTTGGGTTGCAAAGGGACTTCAAGACCTTTTCATTTAAAGGTACGTCTTGGTTATAGTTATAGAATCATATCCTGGAATCATTTGGGTTGCAAGGGGTCTTCAAGACCATTTCATTCCAGCTCCCTGCTGTGGGCAGGGACACCTCCCACTAGACCAGGTTGCTCCAAGCCCCATCCAACCTGGCCTAGAACACTTCCAGAGATGGGGCATGTCATTCCAGCTCCCTGCTGTGGGCAGGGACACCTCCCACTAGACCAGGTTGCTCCAAGCCCCATCCAACCTGGCCAAAACACTTCCAGAGATGGGGCATCCATGCTTCTGTAGGCAACCTGTGCCAGGGCCTCAACACCCTCACAGGGAGGAATTTCTTTGAAACATCTGATCTAACCCTGCACTCTGTCAGTGTGAAGTCATTCCCCCTTGTCACAGAGTCACAGAATATTCTGAGTTGGAAAGGACCCACTAGGATTATTCTGTCATTCCAGGCCCTTGTCCAAAGCCCATCTCCAGCTCTCTTGCAGCTCCTTTAGGTACTGGCAGGGGGTGGTCTAAGGTTTCTCTGGAGCTTTCTCTTCTTTAGGCTGGACATCCCCAGCAGTCTCCAGAGCAGAGGGGCTTCAGCCCTCAGAGCCCTTTTGTGGCTTCCTCTGGACTTGCTCCAGCAGCTCCATGTCCTCCTTGTGTTGGAGATTGCAGAGCTGGAGGCAGCACTCAGGTGGGGTCTCTCACCCTGCAGGTTCCTCATTCTGTGTTTTGGTTGCAAATAGAGTTGCAGCCTGTCATGTAGAGGAACAAAGTAGGAAACTCCTGTAGCATTACTGATGGAGAAATTCTAAGTAACCCAGACAATTATAGTCTAATAATCGTCTTACTTGAATAAAAGAACCACATCCAGAGCCTCTTTATTGTTATTGTCACTGATTCTTCACTTTTTCCTGGAGATGCCATAAAACTTCTAAATTCTGTATCCTTGACAATGTATAGGTATGAGGAGCTTTACCTTTCTTCCACCTCTTCTATCCAGCAGCAACTTGGCTGTTGCTGAGATGCTCAAAAAGTTTTCTTTGAGTCATGTTCTTACTCGAGGTGCAGGTTTTTTACTGCCATGGATACTTAGCTCATGGCAAGGAAAAAGGTTGGATTTCAAGGGTTTAAAAAACCTTTGTGGGTGCCTTCTGAACACTCAAGGGTACTCTTTCTTTACTATTGATGTCTGACAGTAACTCTTATAGTATTTACAGCTTTTCTTCTCAGTGTAAGTACAGAAGTGTGCTGCCGATATAGCTGCTTTTTTCTTGATTACATTTGACTTTCACATGATGGTGCCTCCAACTTCTAGACTTCAAGTTTATTATTATTTTGCAGCAGTAATTTTGCTGGAATATTTCAGCAGGATTCTGGTAATTTCATCAGAACCATGTCTAATATATTTTCCTTTCTGACACTGGACCACTGAAGTGCTCTGTTCCTCTCTCTTTCACCATCTCTACTAATCATGCACCCAACCTTTGTTTGGAGTTGCTTAAACTGGACCAATGTTTAAAGATAGATGTGTGCTTCAGGGATTTATTTTGAAGCTGTTAACTTGGATATAAAGTATTCCTGATCCTTGAGCAGCTGAGTCTGGTTTTGGCTGAGGATTCATGCCTGTGTATAAAACCAGTATTTACCCAGTTTCAATATAATCAATTATGGAGGCTATACTAGCTCTCCTAAAGCCAGGCTTCTTGTCCTCTGGTTTCCTCAGTACCTTCCTGACTTACAGATTGCCTTTCAACTGTTTTATGCTTGCTGCTTCCAACTGATAGAGCTCACCCTTCTCTTGCAGAGATACCTTTTCAGAAAGTGTATTGAGGGAAACAAGTGTAGCTTCTAGTTAATGACTAGCTTTCTGATTTCTCTTTAAAGAAGTAAAAGCAGAACTAGTCAATACAGCTCTCCATAGTTCAAAAGTTGTCAGAGGCATGGGGAAAGAAACATAAATTGTATTTTTTTCAGGGATGCTGAATTGTAGCTTCATTTTCAACCATCAAGAAGGAAAGACTCTCATCTTTGGAAATCTGCATCTCTCTCTTTTTTCAGTGTGGTTTGCATCAATGTAGGTAGAGTCTTCCCCACATATGCATATTCTTAAAGTATTTTTTAGCAGCTAGATCCTGGCCACTTTGCACAAGCAAAGCCTTTTTGTGTGTTTATTACTACATGTGCCTATATGTAGTAAATGTGGCAGAGAAAAAGACACACTCCTCTTTCAGAGGGTAAACTTCCTAATAGCTAAGTCTGAAACCCTTATGTTACATGTTCTGCAAATTTACTCAGGGTAAAACAGTTTGCATTAAAATAAAGGCTGAAATAGGTTGCTGCTGCAAATTCTTTCACTCCTGAAACCAGTTATTCTAGGTCAGTCCTCTTGCTCTCTGAGAAACGTTGCACTTTGCTTTCTGAAGGCAGTGTTTGTTGAAACACCATCAACTTCATGCTGTAAAATTCTAGAATGATTTGGATAGGAAGGGACCTTAGAGCTCACCCAGTTCTACCCCCTGCCATGGGCAGGGATACCTTGCACTGGATCAGGTTGCTCCAAGCCCCATCCAACATGGCCTTGAACACTTCCAGGGATAGGGCATGGTAATGATGGGAACTTGTGCATTTTCAGTTTTGCACCATCCTAGTTCTTTCAGACAGACATTAAGATTTTTTTAAATTGGGTATTTTTTTAATGCAGAGATGTCTGGATTTCAGCATTTAGCATCCAGTGTTTTAGGTATGAAAATGGGGAGCTGAGAGAGCTGCTGGGATGCTGCCTCTGTTGCAATATGATGTGCTGCAGTGTGTGTAGATCTCAGGATTATTTAGATGGAACCATATTTTTGGTGGAAAGGAATGTCTGCATGTGCTGCAGTGTGTGTAGATCTCAGGATTATTTAGATGGAACCATATTTTTGGTGGAAATGTCTGTTTCTGCTCTGTGGCCTATGGTTCACAGTTGTGTCAGGAGATGTTGACGTTTACCTCTGAATTTCAACATCTTCTGCATGGTGACAGACTCTTGTTGGGGCAGGAAAGACTCTTTAGGCAGGGATTGTGGTACTCAGAATCCATCTCTATCTGTTGGAAAGCTGGCTGATCAGAGGTACAAGTTGGGGCTGCTTTATACACTAAAGTAAGTGCCTTTTTTCCCTGTAATCCATAATCTTTCTGACAGTGCTGATGGTGGCTTGACCTGCTTAAAATGTACTCTATCATGTAAAGCAACACTTCTAAGTATGCAACTTTTCTAGGAATTTGTGTGACTGTGCCTGATACGGAAAAGCTCAGTATCTGACATTTGTAACATGAGGAATTGCTGGTTTTCTGTTACTGTTTTGATACCTTCTGAGCAGAACAGATACTCTAGTCTTTTAAAAGAACAATCTTAGCTTATTCTTATTTTGTAACCTCCAGAAACTTGTTCACTCAAAACTGAGATTACTTTGATCTTTTAATGTATTACAGCACGGGTAAAGGATGAAGCTTTATCTCATATTGATGTAGTTCTCTTGCACATGACTGAGTGGGCTCTCAGGTCTGAAGCTGAAGAATGGCAGTGTTGTCAGTTGCACTTTTCAGTGTTTCTGTGCATAAAATTCAGACAGTTATGGATTGTAAAGTTCAAGAAAACACACTATGTATCTAGAACATAGATAAACTGATAGGTCTTTTATACCTTTTTAGGTAAGTGGTGTTATTGCCACCTTAAATTGTTTCTACCTACCTTAGACAAAACATGTAAAGACAGATTTAAAATACATTAAATGTAGGATCATTTATTCTACTAAAAATGCATGCTCTTACTCAAGATTTTTTTTCTTAATTTTTAAAGTAATATTCCTTTTTCTCAAGGATCACTCAGGTACCCTGAAGAACAGTCTTCTCCAGGTGGATCAGAACTGTGTTCGTAACTCTTACGATGTCTTCTCTTTGCTTAGGTAAGGTTTTTGATAATATTTTCTGTAGTGATTGTAACTTCTATAGTGTCTGTGTGGGAGGAATCTTTCCAAATATTAAAAAACCCCAAACATTCTGGTATGTAATGTGAGGGGAGATCCAGGTTGTGCCAATATACTCATGTAGTGAGGAGCTGGGCTGTGGTGTATGTGTGTTCAGTGGTGGTTGCTGGGCTTCTGATGAGGTGTAGATGCTTGAATGCTCAGAACTAGGACTGGCTGTGGAGCTGGACATGCCTTGTGGATATCAAAATCATGGAGCTTCTTTGTTGGAAAGTTTCTGTGGAAGGCCTCTACTCTGTTCTCAACAGCAATAAATTTTTTTAAAATACACAAGAACACAGTCAAGACCCAGTTACTCCAACGCAGATGTGGTCTAAGAAAGGTAGGGTGTATTTTTTGCTTTTGGGTGGCTAATTAAATGTCTGTAGTGGTAAAAAACATGAAGTGCTAGTATTAAGTTAAACAAGATGTCTTTTTTCAGATCTGCTTTAATTATAATAGTTCAAAAATACTAGTTATGAAAAATTATAATTGTGGTCCACCACAATCAGTAAGTTGGTTTTGAGGACTCTCTATTTAAATGGCAATTTACAAGACAGGTTAATAACTTTGTTTCTGCAGTAAAGGCAGTAGATGGGCTATGAAGGAAACCTTGAATAGGAAATGTTTAATATGCTTTCAAAAGTCTATGTAAACTTTTGACTTTTTAAATCAGTTGTACAAGTTAAATCCATTTGACAGTGTTGACAGTAGGTGTCAGTGTTGCCTGTCTGTAGAGGGAGGAACAGTCAGCATAGGTTGCCTATTGCATGTCCTTATTTAAGCTCTCTTAAAATTTCACTGTACTCTTCCTTGATTCTGTAAAGCATATTTAAACTGAAGGCTGCTTTCTAAATGTTTGCTTTCTGTGCTTTTAGTGGGAAACAGCCAGGGGGCATATTAGGAAGTTCTGATTACATTCTGGCACAGTCCACTAGAAGAGAACTTGTACTACCTAATGTTAACTCTTTGTTAGACAGAAAAAGGAAAGCATGTGTTGTGTACCCTGATTACTTCATTCATGAGGGTTTTTCACATTTTGTGTACACATCTATGTAGTATGAGGCATGTTCTGGAAAAAAGACTCACTGTGGTCATGAACTTGACTAGCTGGACCCCTGTCTAGCTCTGTGTAATTGATCTGTAATCCTTCTTCTGAACTTGCCTGATTGTTTTTCCTCAAGCTCATAAGAAATTAAGATGTCAACTGTGATAAAGTTCACCTTGTTGAGTGACCAGTGCCGTTTTGAACCCTGACTACTTGAGCTTTTCTCTGTTTTGGGGATGTGAAAGTCCAGGCTCAAGTCTCTCACAGTCCCTAGGCATGCTGTTGGGTTTAATTTCTATTAAGTTTTGTGTCTGAGCGGAGACATTCTCCTTTTTTTTTATTTTGTCCCAAAAGGAACAGTGTTTTCCAAGCCTCAGAACCCGGCCTGCTGCATATTGTATTTTAGTGGATTGTGCATACCGTATCAAGGGGTTTATACTGCATTTAGTTACAGCAGAAGTTAGAAGCTGTAATTTGTGACTCTTCCTGGGTGTCATACTTGTCTGATCTCATTGTAGTTAGGAAAGTTCATCAGGAACTAAGGCAGAGTCCTCTGTGTAGTTTAGAATCCTTTATATTGCCTCTCACATTAACTCTCCTTTTTTACAAGTGCATTTTCTATACTGCTGCTTAGCTTTGATATGAAGCTGAAAAGCCTGGTGATGGTGTTTGTTTTAAAATAATGTCTAGTCACTTTTTGTCCTTTTTCTCCTAAGCAATTTGGTTTGCCACCTCCTCCAGGAGTCCATGCTTGAATAACCAGCCCATGAACTCTTCCCAAAGATAGTTTGTATGAGCGTGTTCCTCTTTGAACAAAAGAGAGAGGTGGGCATAATTTGAGTTATGATTCATTAGACAGGATGTACTTAGGGAGTTGTCTTGGTTTGAAAAGACAGGTGTCTGCTAAGGAAGGCAGGAGCCTCCCTTGAAACAGAAAATGCAAACCTCCTCCCTCTGAATTATTAGAATTTTGAAATTAAGGGGGGCTCTCAGGCAAAGATATGGGAATAGGAATAACAGTTATTTATTAGGAAAAAATTAAAAATGAAAAGAAAAATATAAAAATAAAAATGCAGTAATACAAACCAACACTGACAGAGTCAGAATGTGACCTGACACCCTGTTGGTCAGGGTGTTGGTAGCAGTCCAATTGGAATTGTGGCTGCAGTCCTCCTGGAGTGGCAGATGTGAATCTGTTGGAGCAGGGATCCTGTAGAAGGGTGGAATTTTCCTCTGAAGGTCCAGTGATGGTATAGATGGGTCTGGTCTTCCTCTGGGAATCCAGTGGAAAAAAAAACCCGTTCCTCTGGAAAATCCAGTGGGAAAAGTCTGCCTGTGGTGTTCCAAATCTCAGATTATATCCGGTTAGGAATGCTTGGCTCCTCCTCCTGCGTGGAGCATCTCACAATTGGATGCTGTAATTTTATCAGTCATACAGTGCCATTCAATAGCCCATTAATAGAAGGTATTTCCCAGAGGGAGGATTGGTTTGTGAAAGAGATAAAGAAAACTGTTCCACCTGGTATTAACAGAAGAAACTGCCCCAGTCTAACAGATGGCAATAGAATCCACACCCCCAGCCACATCCTGCATTTGCACCTAAAACAGGAGGAAATTGGCTGCTGTCTTCCTTCTTCTGTCCATTGGCTGTTAAGAGAATACTGAGTGTCCATACCATAAAGATGTGCATCTGGTCACATAAATCCCATATTTTGATGAGCTTCTCATGATAATATATTTGTTTGTAATAAACTTCACAGGCTGCACATGTGGTTTCCTAATGTTTTCACAATAAATGTGGATATGAAGAACAGCTTGTACTGACTTTATATAAACTTTTACAAAAGGAAGCAAATCCTGGTGACAGTGGGATCTGAGTCCAAGTTGTGGTGGTACTGTGCTGCCAGATGTGGCAAAGCCACTGATAGCCAAAATGGAGAGAACTGGTTCTACCTCATCCCCTAACTCTTGGCTGCACAGTGAGAACTTCTGTGGTTGATCTGTGTTTCAAAACTGCTTTTGGGGGAAGAAGTGATGTAGTTTTTTTCCTCAGAAGTGAATAGTTAAAATTTATGGAGCTTGTAAATTGACCTTAATGAAAAGTGTATGCTTGGCTCAAATTATCTTGATTAATAAAATTAATTGGGAATGACAGAGTGTGTGAACAATAGAAATCTTTTTGTGCTGGATTAAAATAGCACTTATGTTCTGATGCTAAGTGGCTTTATAAGTTAGTTAAACAGGAGGAAAAAGTTAAATGATCAGCCAACTCCTCTTTACACAATGAATGTTTCAGGACCTCTGCAGCTCATGACCCTTCTTCTTGGTCCAGGGACAAGATCCTCAGGCAAACATGGTGCTGCTTGTAAGTTGTTTGTGCCATATGGAAGTGACAAATGTCCAGCCATTTGCTTTAAAAGGACTAACTAACAAAAATTCACCACATCAGCTGGAAAGCTCGGTTTCTGAGGTTTTTGTTCCTCATCATATTTCCCGAAAACAGATAATTTAAAGACTTTCTAAACAATATGTTGCTGGTAGTAATAGGTTATATAGTAACACCTTTCACACAGCACTTGGGCCAAATTCATCTGAGGTCATGTTCTGGACTTGTCTCAATAATCAAGTTCTGAGCACGTTTGCAGCACTAATGGGAATAGGTTTATATTTAGTATTCTCTTGGTTTTCTAGCCTTTCTTTTCCTAAAGCTTTGAGAAATAGACATTTAGTATTAATTAGTGTTGGGAAGATGAGAAAGGGCTTAAAATGCTATGTAATAAAATTTTACTTCAATTGCTCAATACAAAAATTAATACAGTGTATTCGGCAACAACTTTTTGTGTTGTTATGACACAGAGCAATTGGCTTGTGCCTCTGAGAATGTGAATGCCTGAAATCCACCCATATTCCTCCTGGATACAAAAAGTACTGTAAGAACTAATGAAAATCTGCCCCTTGGAAGTTTTGCTTCCAGTAGTTTTTATTACTCCATTCAGAACTGCCATCTCTATGGCTTAACTGTTCTTCAGCAGACGGCATGGTGTGTTTGTGGTGTTTGTCAGTTAGTGCAGATTGAAGACATTTTGCTTGTGTTTTTGCTTTAAAAAAATGTTCTTTTACAACAAAACAACAGAATCCGACATTGGCATCATCTGAGTGCTAGGCGGGGTAAAAAGACTAGCTCCAGGCAGCTGCTTAATATTATTAGTGTCAAATCTGGTAGCATTTGATTTGATTAATGCTTCTGGGTATTAATCTCTCATGGGCAGGGGTATGCTTCAAGTGACCGAGTTTGCTTTAGGGTTTGCCATCTGTAATAGAACTGTTCATTTAAAGAAGAATGCATCTCTTCATTGAAGAGATTATTTAAGAGTACAAATGTTGCTAGTGGTTGTGATCTGAAACTGAGATATTCATAAAATCACCTTCTAGTGACCATAGCTGAAACATGTTGACATGATATAAAATCGGCTTTTGTTTAGCTCTGCTTATTTTAGGGAAGATGCTTTTAAATAGCTATTTTGCTTTTGTTTAAAATCTTCCTTCTTTATTAACAGTTTTATTGAACAAACAGAACTTGATCTTTGAAACTAGAAATGAAGACAAAATTACATGTCTGGTGTATGTAGGCTGCTGTGGAGCCGAAAAACTTATTAGTAGCTCCTCAGTGTAGTTTCTCTGAGACTACAGTCACTGGAATTGCATATGCCAAATCTATATGAAATAGCTTTGTGCAGCTATTTTTAACACATGGAAATAACACTGAAACTGTTTTTCATAAGCTCTGAGTAGGGAATAGTAGAGCAGCATAAGGGCTTTGTGGGCTTAAGCTGCTCAGTGCTAAGGTGTATCTCAGGTACATTGACTTGTCTTCTGTAAATTGGTCCATCTT